CAAGATTTCTCTGCTACCAAATCTTTCACTTTTAAAACTTCTCTCAGATAAGGCTAGGACAATTGCAATTTTTAGAAGCTAACTTCGTTTAAAGATGATGGTATCCAAAATATTTTTTCTGTCTCCCTTGAACATCCTTCAACATCTTCTTTTTCCCATACTAGCACCTACTCATATCAGCCACAACACACTTCTAGACTAAGAATGGAATATGTAAGATTTTAGCCTACAACATAATTTTTGCAAGAGTTTTCAAGAGAATGAAAAATGCCATTTCAAAATGAAACTGCTATCTCAAATAGAAGTGCAGCATAGTTATGTGCAAAGCTGTAATAGCAGTCTTAGTGCAAAAGGAAATTTAATCATGTATAAGATACCCTTGATGTGGTCGTTTGAAAACATTAGTACTAATGATAAACCCATATTTTTTCATGTCTCCAATTTTATACTGGTACTTTTTTGAAAGTACAAAATCTAAGTGGTCTAAGAATAAACTGACTGTGTTCTCTCATCAACACAGTGTGTTGCATTTCTAAGATCTTCTTCATTCCTGCCAGAGTTCATTTTTATAGCAAATAAAGGATACACAAAGCAAAAATTTACAATCTTCTCATTTTTTCATAATGAGAACACACACTACAATACCATGTGTTATGTTGCATAGAGCTAATTGGCTCAGGCACAGTAATGAGTGTGCTATAAAGTTTAAAATACTGTTGTTTTTTTTTTTTTTTTTTTTTTTTTAATGATAGCTAGTCTAAACAAAACAAACAAACAAACAAACAAACAAACAAAAAAAAAAAAAAACCAAAAAAACAAAAAACACCAAACCAAACAACCAGGGTAAAAAGCAATAACCCAGAACAGACTGTGATTTTGATGGTAAAATATTGTTGTGAAAATTGTTTTAAAGAAAGTAATCTTGAGTCATCACTTGATAAACTCTTGAAAAGTTGCTTTATGAACATACAGTTAAGGGAAGCCTGTTTTCTCGACAGATTATGCCCCATACTTCTCCACCCTACCCAATAATCTTAGCCACACTGCTACAGTATCCTTTGTTCACTTTATCTATCAATCATATTTACTCTCCCTACATTCTACTATCTTATTTCTGCATCCACTTAATGCCCTCCTTGATGAACTCCCAGCTTTAGGAACAAGACGGGATGCTTTCTCCCTTACATGCCCATTTTTCACAATTTGTATCACTTATTTGTCAGATTTGGTTGCAAATGCCTAATGTGTTCAAAAACCATGAAGTGGCTGAGAAATAAATAGAAGGCACAGTGACATGGCATAAACCTCTCTGTAGGAAACTACATTAAGAACAGCACTACAAAAAACAGATAAACAGGAAAAACTAAATCTGTTAAATTTTATTTTATTTAATGTTATTAAGTGCAATAAGTGTAGGAGAATTTACTCTTACTGTTATAAATGTTTTAGGAGAACTGTTTTCAACTGTCAGACCTAAATTGTTTAGATGTCCAGAATTCAGATTTCCACCAATGTTTTGGATACTTGAAGATCTCTACTAACACTGAAACCTATAAATTGAATTGAAGCTTTTGAATAAAGCCAGGCTGTAGCAGTGGAACCAGGAGTTAGCAGTGGACCCAGGAGTTAGCAGCAGACCCAGGAGTTATTAGCTATTTCTTTCTCCTTTTCAGCACTGAATTTTGCCTTGAAAATGATCCTGAAACATGGAGGGGAAGACCTTCCCAGTGATGTTAAATATTCTGCATTCTGGGTCCTATCAGCAGGTACAGCCTGCAAGAAGCTTGTTTATCTAGTAGAACGATCTCATTATTAGGACAGTGATGTAGCGTGTTTTATTTCATACCCTGAAATCACTCAAGGAAATAACTGAGTGAATGATATTCATCCTGGACCCTGTATTGTGCTATTATGTGTAGCAATAACTGGCAGCATATTAAAATAGAGATCAGGGACTACAGCCATTCATTTGAAGGCAGTTCTGCAATTTCACAGCTGTTGAATTATTCAAGTATTTTCTAATTTATAAAATAAAAGATGATTGACTGCTTGATGATGTGACGATAGAAATCAAAACATTGAAAAGTCTTGAGTGTGTTTTTTTCCCCACAGTTGTTTTGAACCAGCATAAATGTAGGTGTTGATTGTGTATCAGTAGCAGATGTAACTAAGAAGGGAAATGTTAGATATTTTCTTTGGTCAATGCCTTACTTATAAACATAGAAAAGAAATAAAATCCAGTCAAAATAGAAATACACCACAGTTAGAATAGAAAAATAAATATTAATCCATCAATCTATTCAATATTAACAAGTCTGAATGAACATTAAGCCTTTGCTCTTCTCTGTCTCTGTTTATGAAGTCAGTTACACAGTTGTTTAACATGCAAATACATAACGTTTATAAGGTGCCAATATCAATAGAAAGATCTAAAGATTTCTATGAATGTAAAAGACATCATCAATATAATTCGTCTTTGGGTCTTTGAAAATGTATCTTTGCTTGCTTCGAGGAATTTTAAAATCAGGATTTTAATTAGGTTTCCAATATATCCATGTTTTCCTAGACTCAAAAACGGATATGTGCTTTATACACCACATGCACAGAGTATACATGAAGTATCAGTTACAGTGCATGCATGCTATCATCTGTCCGAGTGTTCACAGTAATTTTATTTTTAAGGACATGACGGTCTATTTTTCTTTCCATTATTTGGTTTTAAGCATCTGTTTATACTCCTCAGTTACAGTGGAATAGGAGCATTTTAAGCACAGATAGACAGTTATCTCCTGAAATATCACTGTTACCAGAAAATATCACAGAAGGGTGTCTGTGTCTTATGATGAGAGTGATTAACTTCTATTATATCTGTCAAAATTGCATTAACACCTTCTCATAGATGAAGGCACATTGGCTAAGCAGTAGTGTGAAGTATTTCCTGAAAGATTTTTAAGGTATTAAAGCTTCCAGCTGTAATATGGTTAATATAGTTCTAAGTGTCCTGAATGTCAGTGTTGGCAGAATTTAACTGGTATATTTCTGTAAGCAGGAAGAGAAACACTGTCATGTTCACTTAATTGAAAGACCACATTGAGAGGAGGACACGTATTTCCTGAAGATTATCACTGAATGTAACTGTAATACATCACAGAATTACAGAATGTTTGCGGTTGGAAGGGACTTCTGGAGGTTATCTGGTCCAAACCCCTGCTGAACCAGAGCCACCTAGAAATGGTTGTCCAGCACCATGTCTAGCTGGCTTCTGAATATGTCCAAGGATGGAGACTCCACAACCTTCCTAGGAAACCTGTGCAGTGGCCAGTCACCCTTGAAGTAAATAGTATTTATCAGTGTTCAGAAATAGACTCCTGTGTTTCTGTTTGTGCCAACTGTCTCTTGTCATGTCACTGGGCACCTGTGGAAAGAGCCTGGCTCCGTCTTCTTTCCACCCTCCTTTCAGGTGTTTATATTCATTAATATGATCACCCTTGTTCTTCTCTTCTCTATGATAAATAGTCTCAGCTCAGCCTGTGCTTATAGGAGAGAAGCTTCAGTCCCTTAATCATCTTTGTGGCCCTTTATTGGACTATCTCCAGTCTGTCTATGTCTCTCTTGTATTGAGGAGTCCAGAACTAGTTATAGCACTCCAGGTGTGGCCTCACTAGAACTGAGCAGAACGGAAGGATCACCCCTCTCAACCTGCTGGCAGCTCAGCATACCTTTTTTTCTGGAAGGGCACATTGCTGGTTCATGTTCAACTTGGTGTCCACTAGGACCTCAGGTCCTTTTCTGCCAAGCTGCTTTCTGGATGGGTGTCCCACAGCACATATTGGTGCCTGGGGTTGTTCCTCCCCAGATGCATGACTTTGCATTTCTCCTTGTTGAACTTCATGAGATTCCTGTCAGTCAATGTCTCAGCCTGTTGAGGACCCTCTGGATGGCATCATGACCCTCTGGTGTATCAGCCACTCTTTTCAGTTTTGTGTCATCAGCAAACTTGCTGAAGGCACACTCTGCCCCATCATCCAGATCATCACTGAAGAAGTTAAACAGGACTGGATCCAGTATTGACCCCTGGGGTATACCACTATATAAAACATAAAATACAAATCCATAATATTACGTGCATGCCAGTATATTTCACTGAGTTGATATTCTCTTAAACTATCTGGTGGGACATATTGATGTGGTTAGTGCCAACAAATGACCAAATAGTTCAGTAGATCTATTCAGATGCTATTTTTAAATACAATGTTGTGATATGAAATCTTTTATGAAAAGTATTTTTAAATACTTTGTGATATAAAATCTTAATGTGAAACCTTAGACAATTCTAGACATTTAGGAGGTTTTGATTTGTATTCTCTTTCCATAGAAATATCATCCAATTTATGTATTTGAAATAATTATTTCACATAGCATTAATGTAAATACAATGCCTGCATATTCAATCTATTCTTAAAATTTTCCTTAAAACTCAGGAACTGAACTTTGATAATGTTAATTTTCAAAACTTTGGTAATGTTCTCTCTGTTTTTTTGCGGGAGTATAGAATAACTGCTAGCATGTTTGCTTAAGCCTACTAAACTGGAGTGCAGGTGATCCATAGCACCTTTTTATGAGGAAAGGCATGCTGAAATAAAGTCAAGGATATCTGCTCTGCATAGTTAATCCTTCATTCAATATGAAGGCTTGAAACAGGGTTCGTGTTACTCTGCAATATGTTCTCATGGATTCATCAAGCTCAAGGAACTGGGAACCATTAGAATTGAACATCCTGGGAGAGAAGATATGACTATGAAACTAATACTATAGACCAAAGTGTACTAACTTAATTAGGAAGTGAAAGGCAAGATTATAATTTGTTAATAAAGTATGATGAAGAAGCTATTACCTGCTAACTTATGTAATGGAATTATCACTGCTTAGAGGTTCCTGTTAATTCATTTTTGGCATGGGAATTTAGAAGCAGAGAGAAATAGAATCAGATCAAAGAGAGAATGCTCTTTCAGAAAGGTAAAAAATGAAATTATCAAAGTTGTAAATGAATTCTGAAATAAATGGAAGTTAGTTTCTTAAGTCCTTTGAGGAAGCATACCCTTGTCCCCCATTCACTTCAATTTCTGCAAAAATACATCTATGTCTTACTGTAGCCTTGTAATGGTTACTAATTTTTACGGCATATTGGGTAGGAAAATTGAAACATGAACATACTATTATCCCTTCCTGGTCTCAAAAGTAAACACAGAAGGAGACAATCCATATATGATATATGAAATATTTCTCTACGTGAATTCTGTTCACAATGCAAATTAATTATGAAGTTTTTTATTTTTCATCCATCTTTCAAAGTTGTATCGACTTAGGTTATTACTTGCATGGTGTTGTGTGGAGATGTTTGTGTCTTTCTTATTTTGCTGTGTATAAGTCCTGTAGCATTGTCCAAATGTAAATCTCAAAAATCTATAACTGGCATGCTATTCTCCCAAGTAATAGATGAAAAGACTGTCTATGTTTAAAGTGACAGTACTCCTTTATCTTGCACAGTAGCTTGCATCCTCCATTAAAGTCAGTATTCAACCAGCTCTAGGGTGAGAGGCATTTGATGTAATTTTAGCATTGAAAAAACTGATATTCTAAGCTATCTAGCTTAAAGTTAATAAAAAGAAGTGACAAATTAAGACCCAATATTCATACGAGTCATAGATTTTCATTTTAAGATTAAATACATTGCCCTCTGGATGTACTGATTGCTTTCTACTGACTGGATCAGGGCCTTATTAGGTAGCTGAGGATGGACATCTAGCTTTGAATGAATGAATCTAATGGTGAATTTCCATGGCTGAAATTCCTTAAGAAAAAAAAAATAAGCTTTTGTTAAGGAAACCATTTTGGAAAGTATCTGTTCCTCTTCTGTTGTTTTGGTATTCTCGACTAAAAGTAATGGGGAAGAGGGAGGGAGGTTGGGTGTGGTTTTGTTTTGGGGGTTTGGTTTTGTTGCTGAGGTTCAGAAAGTCAAACAAATCCAGTATTGCTTTCTGTTTAACAATTATTGCGGGAGAGTGTTGGTAGTGGCTGACATTATACAACAGGTGAAGAATATGAAAATTATTCTGGAATTATTGCTAATCAAGACAGGAAAAAATAAAAACATGGATCATTTAAATTAATTTTTAATGTACTTCTAGGTAGTCAGGAATTCCAAATAAGAGCTGCTTAACTTGTTATTGAATAATCCATTAAAAATGCTGACAGCAATTTTCCTGGCAGCATCTTTTTGCACATTTGCTCTTATTGCTCTTACTGTTAAGACAGTTTCTTGTCCTCCAAATCTAACCCAAACTGTCACACTTTTTTGTGTGGGGCACAGCTGCTTGTCCTACTGTATTCTGAGACTCAGTAATGCCTGATTTCATTTACATGGTTACCCTGAAGATATTTGATTGATACAGTTCACAGATTATGACTCCCTGTGTACCACATGGTCTCTGTGTTTCACTGATTTCACTCCAGTATTTTATAACCGGTCATGCTGGAGTTCCATAAAATACAAAGAGCAATTGCTCATTTATCTCAGAAATTATCAACAATTAACACAAAATCTCATAATAACACTTCAGTGTAGACAAATACATGACATTAATAGTGTGAAAATGCAGTAAAATTTTTCAGGGATCAAAAGAGAACTGCTAGTCACTCAGTGGACCTTTTCTCAAATGCAATACTTTCCCACAATAAAGGTTGCTGTGTGAATACTGCTTTATGAAGCCTTTGATAATCTGTTGTCATTTTCTCTTATATTTTAGCTGATGGATGCACTGACTGGTCTGTGGATTACAAGAAATATCAAGTTCTAGTGGGAGAACCTGTTCGTATAAAATGTGCACTCTTTTATGGATATATTAGAGCTAATTACTCCCTAGCTCAAAGTGCTGGACTTAGTTTGATGTGGTACAAAAGCTCTGGACCTGGAGACTTTGAGGAACCTATAGCATTTGATGGAACTAGAATGAGCAAAGAAGAAGACTCCATTTGGTTCCGACCGACAGTGGTACAAGACAGCGGGCTCTATGCATGTGTTATAAGGTACTATATTTTAATATACTGCATTTTAATTAACCAGATATGAAACAAGGATCTTAATAGTGAAATTCTGTGCAAAAGAAAAATGTTTTCTGAGCGTGTTCCTTTTTCTTCTCCTCCTAGTACTCCCTTCCCTGAAGTGTTTCACGCTTAAGTAGAAATTACTATTGAACATCTTGAATGTTTCAGATTGGTTTTTGGATAAATATAGGTCATTTATAGCAAAATCTAAAATTTATAACATGGGTGGGACTGGATGCCTAAGTCGTGTGTTACTGCTTATGATTCTGGTTTAACTCTTACAATCACTATCCTAGAGTGAAAATATCTTTTTTACATTCAGATTTAATTTTATATGGATTTTATTAAATGATTTCATTTAATTCACTTATTTCTGTAAAAAAAAATGTTATTTGATGTAAAGTAGTTTCATCAAGGAAAAGGGAATATGAAATTCCAGCATTTTTACAGATATACATCCACTAGAATCACATCTGGCTTAACCTGATAATAGAGGCAGGGTGCCAGATATTTTCCAAAGGTATTTAACCTTCTGATGCATCAAGCTTTATCACCATAAATTCTACTAGATTCCATTTCCAGCTTTCCAAATCAGGTGTTCAGCTTCTTTCTGCATCTTTAAAATTGTTTGCACTGAGATATTGTTTCCAGCCCTTTTGCAGTAAAAAGATCATCTAGGCACTTTCATATTTTCCTACAGCCTTATACTAGATTTTCACTAGATGTGAAATTATGCAGATTAGAATTTTTACATAGAAAGTACAGAGAAGAGTCACTACTAATTGTTCAAAGGTTTGAAACAATTGGCTATTGCAGTTAGTTGAATAGATGAAGCAGTGCTCCTCTCTATCTGCATATCTATAAAAATGGTCTTGCTACTTATACATGATAGAGTCAAAAAGAAAGAGCAAAACAACTGAGTGGCTAGAAAAGGAATGCACAATGAAGCTATTTCAATGTTGCAAAGAAAATAAGGGAATTGTTTTACTAGCATGTAGAGATGTTTAGTGTTTACCACTTTTTGGGGGGGAGTGGTGGTGGAAATGCTGTCTGAGTTGCATGTGGTGATGGAGACTTTTAGCAGATGATCTCTGAGCTCTTTACATAACCTGTGAAACATTTTCAGCATGGTTCTTATGATGATGATGGTTTACTTTAACAGAATACCACAAAAAAACCTACATGTTAATCTACTGAAGGAGAATATTTAGTTAAATGTAGATTATTTTTTTTTTCAAATAAGTGTGTAACAGTAGCCATGAAAATGGCAACAGTTTTGCCACTTATTTCATAGTGCTATTTAAAATGCTGTAATTAATTTCCTCTGTTAATATAAAGAAAATCTTAAATATTTGATATTGCACTTTTCAGCAAGTATAGATAAATACTGTATTAAGCTAATCAGACATACTTTAAAATGGGTTTATCCTGTCAACCTGTATTCATGCTTTATCTAAATGGATTTCTTTTTAATCTAAAGGTAGGTAAGGACATGTTCTAATCTGCTTTAAACTATATATTGCTTTCTTAGAACATGCTTAATTTCCAGTTGTCAGTGCTTATACATATAGATTGATGATAGATTTAAAAATACAGTACTAATTAGTTTGTGATCCTGAATACCCTTATGAACAGTTACAAAGCCTTTCACCGCGAGACCTACTAGAATAAACAAGTGTTGGGTAAAGAGTTGGTACTAACCTTGCAAAAGATTCCATTCAATTCAATGTTAAAGGGTTCCATCTTTCAAATCAAGATATTTATTAGTAGAATACACAACCTTCATTTCAGTATCAGAGGAATATATGCTTTTATATGTTTTGTGCATAAAGGTTACTTTCAAATAGTTTTGAATGCCCATTTAGAATCAAGTTTAAAACTTAATACTTTATGTTCCCAGGACAAACATGTATTTGATATTTTAATCTGAAATAAATAAAAATAATTACTCAGCAATGTAATGTTTCCCTTTTTTCCCTCATTCCTTCATATTCTTGCACTGTAAAGTGGTGAACTGACACAGAAAAAAAAAAAGTAGATGAACTGACGCTACCTGGCAAAACTATGTACTTCCAAAGTTATTGCTACAGAAATATCTAGAGAAACCTCTCACAACAAATAGCTGTCTACTGCTCTTTACTGCTCTTCAGTCTCACCACTGAAATCGGAATACTCAGCCCTGCTGTCACTTTATTCTCAGATACTGGTAAAATATATCAAAGAATCGGGAGAAAGATTAGTGAATGAGAACTGTAATTCTTTCAAGGACCAAATTGAAGATTGCAGGAATGGGATTTAGGAATTTTTTCTTAGAGATTTGAAGCTTTTGTTTATTTTAGTGATGAGTGCTTTAAATGGCTTCAGGATGATGTTATAAGCTATTTCAGTTTTGAAGACCCAATTGAGAAGCTCAGTTAAGAGGCTTAAAATTGCCTAGTAGCAAACATGTTCAGTGTGATACTTGCGATAACTTGAGTAGGAGAGCAGGGAGAAGGATATACCTATGAGGTAAAGAAAGTAGGCGGTAAAGGGTACATGGGCAAAAGCAGAATTGCATTTTGAATAAATAGCTATGCTTAGTTTTTATCTCAAACCCACTTGAAGGGGTGAAACAGTCCAGTACTTATTATTTTTTCTCAGAAACTCCTTTCTTCACAATTCTGTGCCTTTGCTACCTGTGCCAACGGTAAGGAAGATGAATGTATCTGTTGCACAGGATGTGTAGAGAACAACATGCTGGTACAGGCTATATGGCACTAAATGAACAATATTAAAAGGGTAGCTAGTGGATTGAACTGATTTCTACAGTGACTACATTACAGTAGAAACATGGAGTTTCATTAAGTAGAATTGTTCATATTTTCAGTAAAATTAATCTAGGGATGGTAGTGAAGGCTGGCTCTTTTTCCTTCAGAAGCAAAGAAATGACCTTCATCCTTATTCACTACTGTTCACAGTCTCCCACCTTCAATTTCTTATCCCTTCTTTTCTTCCTATGGGAAGCTGCTGCCCTAAAGGAATTGAGGAAATCAAGACTGAACCTTATTGATAAGATAATGCTGCACACCCATAGCTGAAGAAGAGGAGATAGACAGCTAGAAATAGCTTTCAGCTTACTATGGTCAATACAAGGACTATGACCTGATTGGTATAAAACCTAGGGGTTTATACCCTGCTTTCTGGGAAGAAAATAATGTAGTTTCTTTCAGGTGCAGCACTGTGCCATTCTGCTGCAATTCCTGTGTGCTGCAATTTTAAGAAGAAGATATCAAATATTAAGTCTTTCAGTGGGTGTTACATCACATGGTTGCTTGTTGTTTATCAGATATGGGCAGTAAATATAACTAGATAACCTGCACCAAGAATTAATGTATATATTCAACACAAGGTCCCAGAAATTATGTATATATATTTATATACCAGGTGTAAAAGTAAGTACTAAATAGTTTCAGTCAAATTTTATGCCTCCCTTAATGTTGCAAAAAAAGCTGAAATATTGTTCACGTCAAACTGAAAATTCTTTGCTTTCATCTTTTCCTTCTTTGCCTGGAAACTTCTATTACAGTATCTCAAATAATGGCCCAATCTAACATCAGCTCAGGTGAGTGGGCTGAAGAGGAAGGCTGGACTGTGATTTATGCTAAAGTGCTACCCTGGGTTGTATTGCAAAAGACAAAATAAGTTTTTATGATACATTCAGCCAGAGTTTTGCATTGATATGTCAGTTAAATAGTGTTTAGAAATCATCTTAATCACAGCATACAGTGTATGCAACAGGCCAGGCATCTTTCTGAATCTGAATATGGTCTTACAAACTAATGACTGTTGGTTTTAAACTCATGTTTTAAAGTGAGGTTGCTTTTACATCTGTAACTAGAAATTCTCACTTAAGAGCTAGAAAAAATGTATTTTGTCATGTAGAAATCAGTTTGGACTTAAAACATGTAACGTCTTTCTTTGTTCTCCATTTGTCCTTAATAATGATGGCCCATTTAGTTTTCTGTAGTTGAGTCTTTGTGAAGATTTATGTGTTTGGATGTTTACAAACATTAATTGCTTTGGTAAGCTGAAAAATTTAGTGGAGAAAAATGCATATGAGCAACCAAGTCTTGTTTAGAAACATGAGGTGGTGGGGAGGGCAGGCAGGCAGGCAAGCAGGCAGGCAGGCAGGAAAGGAAGGCAGGAAGGCAGGAAGGCAGGAAGGCAGGAAGGCAGGAAGGCAGGAAGGAAGGCAGGAAGGAAGGCAGGAAGGAAGGCAGGAAGGAAGGCAGGAAGGCAGGAAGGCAGGAAGGAAGGCAGGAAGGCAGGAAGGCAGGAAGGCAGGAAGGAAGGCAGGAAGGAAGGCAGGAAGGCAGGAAGGCAGGAAGGAAGGCAGGAAGGCAGGAAGGCAGGAAGGCAGGAAGGCAGGAAGGCAGGAAGGCAGGAAGGCAGGAAGGCAGGAAGGAAGGAAGGAAGGAAGGAAGGAAGGAAGGAAGGAAGGAAGGAAGGAAGGAAGGAAGGAAGGAAGGAAGGAAGGAAGGAAGGAAGGAAGGAAGGAAGGAAGGAAGGAAGGAAGGAAGGAAGGAAGGAAGGAAGGAAGGAAGGAAGGAAGGAAGGAAAAAACAGAATAATTTTAGAGATATTTTAAATAAAAGAACATTAATTTTCTCTATAAAATTTTCAACAAAAGCTGCTTAAAATTATCTTTTAAAAGCATCACAGTGTAAGAGAATATACAGTACTTTTTTTTTTTTCCCTAGGCATGATTGGAAACATGACATTGCTGTGAATTTATGAAAAAAAGTCTTTAATCACATGAAAATTCATTTTAATTTTAGATTGTATAAATTTATTCAGTTAGGTAGGATGTGTTCCTGTGCTGATCATCTTTGAATACAAAAATATTGATTTTGTGTAGTTTAACAGATCTAGTTTTGACAGATCATCAGACCCCACCTGAAGTACTCTGTCCATCTCTAGGGCCCCCAAAATAAGAAAGATAT